CCATATAACACCGAAATATTATTTCTCTCATAACGACCAACATATTGCCTTCGCGCATGCGCCACTTTATAGACTAGCATTATATTTAGTGAAAACTCTATTTATTCGCATTATAACTGGCATTCTAAATACTGGTTCATATTCTTTATGGCGGAAGATTATACACATTGGCGTTCTATATAACATCTCTATAAATTGGAATTTTATATAACGGAAAACTATAAATTAGCGTCCTTTATTTTATATATGTCAACTCTATATATTTGCATATATATATATATATATATATATATATATATATATATATATATATTATGAAAAAGGCATCTCCTTATCATGCAACTGAAAGTTGCTGATGGCTTGCGCAATCTATCGGAATAAATATCAACTATTCTCCTTGATTTTTAATTATTCCAGAATTGGCCAAAATACCCATTCTTGATTAATCAAAAAAAGCTAACCACGGACGCGTTCCAGGATGTTGGCCCTCATCAGCGTGGTGCAAGCTGTACCTCAACGACCAGAAAAACTGGTTATTCAGGCATCGTGAAAAATCATGAAACGGGTAGTTAAGGCCAGAATTGCGTGAGACCGCGACACAATGTAAAATAATAGTACAAATGTGATATTGTACTATTATTTCATATATATATATATATATATATGGTAATTTAAACCAACAACCCTCTATTGTATAATACTTATAACAAGATTGTCATGTTGTATAATATAAACAGATCTATAAATAATTATACGCATGATTGACATGTGTCATTGCATCACCATATGTAATGTACTTTGTACAAACTGAGGATGAATAAATAAAACTATGTAATAAATTAAGAGCTGAGCTATTCAAGAAATCGAGATAGAAAACCAACAACCCTAAAGAGGAATTTGGCAGGCCCGTGCCATCAGGTCCAAAGGGTGTAGAAAATACCGCAGACACCCCACGCCCTTTGCACCCGTTCAAAGTCCAAATTCTCGCATGTCTCCCCCCCCCCCCCTCGGCAAAGATATATAAAACATCTGCCCTAACCGAAAGAATAGACTTCACCATCGGCGTGAGCCCTCGTCGGTTGTACCCAGGTCCTCCTCATCGACCATGTAGAACTGTAAGAACTCTTCTATCTCCATCTTGCTCTTAGCTCGACTCCTATCTGTTCACGGAACTTTCCTACTACAACTGTGTCTCTTCGTTTTTTGTGTGTGGACATTCCCAAGCTTTCCACTCTGCCTCGACCACGACTGCCTGTACTCTGTGAGAACTGTTAAAGGTCCTCCAAGGTGCAGAGAGGTACTGGAAAACTCTCCACGCCCTGACTGTCCCTCTCGGTTACTACAGGTTTGACCCTCGGTTATCACAGCTATAGCGAGAGTCGACAGGATCTCACACCACAGATAAGTCGACAGGATCTCTAATAATCACAGATAAGTCGATAGGATACCTCACCACAGATAAGTCGACAGGATCTCTCATCATCACAGATAAGTCGACAGGATCCCTCATCACAGATAAGTCGACAGGACCTTATCACACATATATATAGAAGCATAGGGCGCCTCTCCCGTCAAAATAAACGTCAAAACTTTGCGCCCTATGCTTTTATGGATCAATTTACTCCCGGCAAATATTCCATATATATATGTGATGATTTAAGACCATGGAATTGTTGTAAATAGTCCAGATATCTACTACCACATGTTCCACCACGTGACTGTATATAACTTCTTATTTACTGCAAATAGAAAGCCTCAACTAACATCAATCTGTACCGCGTAAGAATCTAATAAAGTATAGCAACTGCACAGATAGAAGGAATGGAGACTAACAGGAGAAAATTAAGGTTAAAACTAATCAGGCTTAGGTGAGAATAGAAGAAGGCCTAGCAAACCCAGTCCAACTTTTACGAGGTCGTGGCCCTCCTGGATAATAAAACTTCCCCCCCCCCCTGTTTACGTCAGAAAAGGGCAGCGACCTGTTCGGACCCGCTCAGCTATAAAAGGAGGTCCCGATCCTCAGTTAGTCAGTCCTTAGTTAGTCGTCGTTCCAGTCCCAGTGCGCCGGACGCTCCGATAAAAGGTAAACCCTTTCATGCCAGAATTCTCCTCGTCCCATTCCTTCTTGACGTCAGACGCTTCTTAGTGGAATCTCTGTTTGCTTATTTCACCTTTGGCCCAGCTGTGTCGCCTTCCACCACGACTGCACGGTAGAGTTGACATCGAGGTTCGTCTAGCATCAGGTAACACTGGTCCCAGAGGTCCCAAGATATCACATATATATAACTGAGATACCAAGAAGAACTTGTCTGGAGGAGGACACTCTCAAGGTGGCGGAGGTTGATGAATTAAGATGTAAATATAGTCTAGGAGTCAATAAAGATGTTTTATATAAATTGTTTATATTGGCATTCTTTTGCGTTCTATATGAAGAAAATCTAAAATGAACTACTTTATAAATATTGGTATTCTTTATAACGAAATCTATATATATTGGTATAAATGAAAACTATTCATTGAGAGACATTATATATAACTCTATATATTGGCATTCTATATAACGAAAGATATATATATAAGAAAGGAAACCAAGTTTATTTTAAACAAACTTGTATATAGATGGCGCGTTATATTGCCATATAATTAAAGCTATATATATATTGGCATTTTATATAACAAAAACTTTATTCATTGATATTAAATTTTAAGAAAACTCTATGCGTTGGGGACTTCGTCGGCTTTTCTACTCCTCTTAAAAAGCCAACACGCTGCGTCCTAGCTGACTCCACATCACTGACTAACTTCTGCCGTCGTCTAATCAACGAAAATTTACGCGGAACTTCAAGAGTGAGCAACATCGGCGAAGCCGTAGTACTGCGTGGAACCCCCAGGTAGTTCACGCGAGTCCTCACCCTCACTGCCCGCCGCATGTTAGAGAGCCCACGCCTGGCTGCACTGCCAATTAGCCATTTACTTAGATGGTGGGAGGAACATACAAACCTTCCCATCAATATCGGCTGGTCGTCGCTCCGTCACTGAGCCTCCTGCGGGCAAAAGGCGGACGTTGCAGTTAAGTTAGCTCTTCACGTTTTACCTCATCCAGCCCACACGGCTTTGGCCTGACAGTCCTGGTTCGCACGTGGATCAAAAGAGCTGTCGCTGATCCTCCGTTACTGGTCCTGCTTCTGCGTCAGGCCTCTCATCCGGGAGGCCTTCACCTTCATCGAGCGGCTGGGATTTCGGATATGGCCTGGATGATGACGTCCTGGCCATTCTGGCTTCTGATAAAACTTGCATTTATAGGTGTTTCTTCGGAGTGGAGCTAGGAAGATACCAAGAAAAACTTGTCTGGAGGAGGTCACTCTCAAGGTGACGGAGCCTCCGTTGATGAATTAAGATGTAAATATTGACTTTTATTTTCAAATATAGACTAGGTGTCTCAATGAAAATATTTTATATAAATTGTATATATACCGTATATATATTGACATTCTCTCTCTCTATAACAAAAGTTATATATATATTAGCCTCGCATATAAAAATATTCTCTATATACACACAAAGCTTTATTAAGAACACCGGTCTTATACAGATTCACCACAGGAAGGAAGCATAGATAGAGCTCCTATACTCCAGACAGCGCAGAACCCAACAACAGCCTTCAGGTCTGACACATGTCCAGTGGCCACACGTTCCTTCGTGCATACGTCATGGTTAGCGTATCACTGAACAGGCTAATGTGGAATAAAATACTATCTATATAAGTATTTTATATAAAACGAAAACTCTATAATGATGAAATTTCCTGATCTTCAATGTCTTTAGAGGAAGGAGACAAACCGCTGATTTCATGCATTAGCTCTAGTTGCAAAACCAATTATCCAAATTCTCAAAAATTTCAAACGTGTCTTCACAGGAATTGGCAACAATATAGATTTCCGACAAAATATGTAATTTCCACACAGAGCAAAAAAATCAAAATAATTAATTCTAAAGATATCTATTATTCATTAAATTTAATTATCAAAAATTCTTTTATTTTTTGTAGTTGTGTTCAATTTTCATTAATGGCATCGGAGCCTAATGGCATTTATATTGGGGAGGGCCCATATTTTAATAATTATTTTTTTTTTCCTATCGATGGAGGGAAAATACATCTGGAATTTTTCTCTCTCTCTCTGTCTGCTGGGAAAATATTAAAACTTCGTTTATTATAAATATTGGTTTCGATGTGTCCCCCATTTTTTTAATTAGCTTGAACCGCTCAAGTAAATCCGGCTTTGAAATTTAATGGGTTTTGAGATTTGATGTGTGGCATTAGAATATTAAATAGATTTTTTATAATTTTGTTTATTTTATCTTTTTTTTTCTTAGGATATATGAGATAACTTTTCACTGTCCAATATGTAATAGAATATCGTTATAAAAAGAAGAGAATGTGTTCTAAATAAATATATTATTTAGGTATTAAATATATACAGTGGTGCCTCGACATACGAGCGCCCCAACATACGAGTTTTTCGAGATACGAGCCGACGAGCAAGTGATTTTTTGCTTTGAGTTACGAGCGAAATTCGAGATACGAGTTCGGTTCGGTAGTGTTGAAGATATTAATCTGTGATTTTAAATGTTTCTTTTTGACCAGAACTTTTGTTTTGTTTTTGCTTTTCCTAAAATGTTTCTTTCTTCTTCTTCATTATTATTTGTTCTATATGCAAAGCTTTGTTTTTTGCTTTTTGTCTTTTTGCTTCGAGATACGAGTAATTCAAGATACGAGCAAGGTTGCGGAACGAATTAAACTCGGATGTCGAGGTACCACTGTATATATAATATAATAACACTGCGGCCTGTGATTGCAAAACGACACTTGAAGTTACACCGCATGGGTTTCCTTTCAACGAAAAATCAAAATTTAATTTCAAGGTGAAATATAGACTATTTCTAACCTTTTTGGATGAGGTATGAAAGGGTGAATTATGAAGAGTAATGATGAACGGAAAAATAAAAGTGCCCAGGGATGGGAATCGAACCCACAATGTTCCGCTTACCGGGCAGATGCCATGTCCACTAGGCTGCCCTTATATATATAGAATCGCCTTGATTGGTCCAAACGACTGGGAAGCCATATTTGATAGTTATAGCAGAAAATGTGAGGATGGAGCATTGACCCAAATAAAGTTGTTTTCAGCGAATTCAACTCCAGGGTCCTTTGTCTTGGAGTTCTCTGGAATAAAAGTGTCGTTGACCTAGCGCTAATGGTGTGAGATAGAAATCTTTCCTCTTAACTCTAAGCCTAACTGCAATCGTTTATTAATATCCAAACGTATCTCCACAGGAATTGGCAACAATATATATAAGCGTACTTGTATATAACACAAAGTTGCGGGAGGATCATATTCATGTATCAAATATGTTACATCTCCCTTTTAAAATGCATTAAAATAAAGAAACAATGTTTTTTTTGGGTTATCAACACGATAAAAAACGAAGAGTTGGTGATAACGAATGATCCACAACAGCAGTTTTTAGAAAATTCACCCCAATTATATTGAAATATAATCTAATTTGGCGCAAATATATAAAGATAGATCTTCATATATGTGCCGAAAGTGGCACCTCTCCCTTTAAAAATGCATCAAAACGATTCATTTGGTTTATCACCCCAGTACAAAACGTGATGGTGCTGATAAATAAAACACCAGTTTGGGCAAATTCAGACAAAAGGCTAACCAGTATACCATGGTTTCTGGTGATGGCCCTCATCAGTACAGGGACGGCTTCGGTTTTATAACATTCTACGAGAGGGGTTATGAATCCACTCGAATTGGTCAAAAAGGTGTTTAAGATGGTGAAGTAGCAAGGGCTGATTTTCAGGCTTGAATACAACATAATATTCGTTAGGCAAACTTTCACTCGGATAAAACCCGGGCGAAGCCGGGTGTACACACACATCCGCTAATCTATATACAGTTACAGTCTCCTAATCTCCTAATCAATCATCTCTCTCTGTCACCGTTTGCTTTTTTTTTGGAATGGCGCCCTCCTATTGGGTGGCTACGGTCACGCCACCTTTGCCCCCACCCCATCATGCCCCCCCCACTCGCTATTTATGTAACTATTGTGTTGGAGCGGGTCGCTTCCTAAATAAATGCATATATTAGATAATAACCAAATGGAATCATCTCTTTCTTTTTCCCAGTAAGAGACGCCTACGGAAGCCAACAGTACATAGACAGATAAAGCACATAGGCTATAGTTATTAACCAACATATGCAATTATTTAAGGCGCCAATTTTTAATTGTAACAAATAGTATTTGAGTCAAAACATTCAATCGGGTAAAACACGGGCGTTGCCCGGGTCATTCGGCTAGTATACTTATATGTGCCAAAAAGTGGAACCTCTCCCTTTATTAGTACATGAATCCCATACTCCTGAAATTTTATGTCGTATTCTAGTCTGAAAATTGACCTTACTACTTCATCATCTTGAACATTTTTGACTAATTCGACCAGTTGCATAACTCTAGGATGTTATGAAATCGAAGCCCCCCACCCGTACTATTGAGAACCATAGCCCTAAACCATGGTATACAGGTTGGATTTTTGTTTGAAATTTCCGAAACCGGTGTTATGCCTTATTCTTTATCAGCACCATCACGTTTGTATTGAGGCGATAAATCAAATGCATCGTTTTAATGCATTTTTAAAGGGAGAGGTACCACGTTTGGCACATATATGAAAATCTCTCTTTATATCTTTGCGCAAAATTAAATTATATAATAATTACTAGCGGATGTGTACCCGGCTTCGCCCGGGTTTTATCCGAGTGAAAGTTTGCCTAACGAATATTATATATTACTAGCCGAGTGGCCCGGGCAACGCCCGGGTTATACCCGACTGGACCCGGCTTCGCCTGGGTAGTGGTCGAGCGAGGTTTACTCATGAATGAATAGAGGCCCCAACTGTTTGTAAACTCAATGTAATGAATTTTCTTTCAGCAAAATGGAGATAAATTGCAAACAGCAATATCGAAAATGCGTGTAAAAAAATCTGAAATATAGGATCCATTTGCACAAACGCATCTAATGAATAGAGTGCTGTTTGGAGGAGTGGTCTAAACTGTTAATTTTTAAAAACCATGACCCGGGGTCATCGAATGCAGATTCAGACACTTTGTTCTGAAAAAAAAATTGCCCCAATGGCTCCTGATTCTTGAAAAAGTCCAACCCCTCCAGTGAGTGCAAGTAACCAAACTGGGCTTTTATTCTTAAAAATAAAAAAAATCTAATGATTAGTGTGAATAAAGGAAAATGGTCGGCACAACCTGAAAATTTCACTTTGTCCACTTCACTCTCGGCTGTCCAAGAAGAAACAGCCAGAGCAAACATTTTAAAGGGCACCTAATCCGGCATTTACATATCTAAATAGTTAAGCAACTTTTATAAAAGTAATATATTTTGCAATATTGAAATACCTGGACTTGGAAGAATTTTGTATTAGTTATTGTTGCAGTTTTAGAAAAGTGTGGGAAATTGGATATTTTAACAAAAGAATATAATTTTTAAAATGGTATATAAAATAAAAAGTAAATTTGCATAATTTTTTAATAGGCAAGGGCAATTGTAAAAATACCAAAAAAGCAAGACCAGATAAAAAAAAAATATATATGTGTGATGTTTCAGTAACAGCATTGTTGCCATATAAAGACAAAATTACTGAATGTATTCAGTACCTTTGTCTGAAGATAGCCAAAATGTAACTGAAACCACACATAATGTAATTATTTGTATTCGGTCTTGCTTCCTTTTTTTTTAATCATCCCTAGTACGCGTGGTACAGGCCATGATAACCATGGTGGGTAGGTAGCGACTGCTTTTACTGTAAGCGCACCACATGTCTACAAATGTGATACATTGCTACCAGCTAAATGCATTTTCACTATGGTGTGATTTCCACATGATGGATCTGTAGACACATTATAATCTCTCCAGAGCTTAAGGTAGCAAACAGTAATTTCACATTATATAAATATCAATGCCAAAATCCAGAGTTATGATAGCATGTTGCAGTGTAATGTAGACCTGCAGGATGGGAAAAAGCAATATTATTTCCGGCTTTAATTTGAAAAAGTATTATGAAACGTTAAAAATATAATAGTAACTTTTGAAGCATGAAAAAATGCTAACTTGATGTGTATCAATTTAGTCTAAAAACAAACAGCATGTAAAAGTAAGCACCAATCGAAAGCATTTATTAGCTCTAACAGTGCTGCCCCCAGCGGTAAAAGACTGGAGCTAACGCTTCACGGGTTGGTAAAGTTTCTGTGTATATTACATTAACTTAACAATATTCCATGTCTTGCTAACACAAATTTTTAAAAATAATATGCATAAAAATAATGCAATTGCTAAAAATCATAAATGAAGCATCATTAAATTAAATGGGAGAGAAATGGTGTTCCAAAATTTTTTGTTGTTGTAAAACTTTGACCTTTATATTTTTACAAATTCTTAATGTACACATAACCCAAACCAAATTGTCTATAAAATTCTGCAAACAAATATAATATTATAGAGGCATGAAAATACTAATGGTGTAAAAATCAAAACAGCAAAGTTATCCTGATAAATGCAATGAGCTATGATAAGGTGTGTTGCAGGCTAACAAAAACTTTAATTGAACCAGAAATGTTGATACCATAAAAAAAAAAAACAATTTTCAAGAATAGAGTTATGTAAATGAATTAAATGTGAAAAAATTAAAATAAAATAAAGTAAAAAAAGCTTTATTGATGAAACAACAGTAGAGCACACACACAATAATGATAACAAATTATGTATTTACAAAAGTCAAGCTTCCCAAAATCATTATTCGAAGAAATCTCTTTAAAATTGTCAAAATCTAGATCAAAGCCCCCTGATAAACAATATTGCGTGTCTTGCTAAAAGTAGAACTAAAGACAAATAAATATTTAGGGCTGGAAACACGGGAGCATGCTACATAGAGTTGCCCATGCGAGAAACAGGGAGACTCAAGATGCACACCAACTACTTGCAATGTTTGACCCTGAGATTTATTAATTGTCATAGCAAAGGCAACCATAACTGGGAATTGCAAGCGTCTAAACTTAAAAGGCAGATCATTTGGAATAATAGGTATTCTAGGAATAAGGACCTCTTCCCCTCGAAAAGAGCCAGTTAAAATCCGAGCCTGGAGAACATTAGTGCCCATTTGAGTGATGCATAATCTAGTGCCATTGCAGAGACGGGGTGGATCAAGGTTTCGTATTAAAATTACTGGCACACCAACTTTTAGTACAATTTTGTGTGAAGGTGTACCAGACAATTCTAGTGAATTCAAAAATTCAGGGGGATACGACACAGATTTATCAGGATCAACCATTGTATCAATTGATCTATAGATTTAGCTTTCACCCGGGATTGAATTTAATATTGTATTATTTATTTCTCTAGCACAGTGCTATTTTTGGGGGCCAAAATAGTGCGGGCACATAACCATTCTTCAGATAAATAGTTTACACCTATATTAGGGAAAACCTTTTCATACAGACTTTCTGAAGATTCCACCACTTGGCAAAAAGTATTTGAAAACTGGATATTACCCTCGGAATCAGTTTCTAGTTGACCTTCTCCTATCTTTAAGAGTTCGTCTGCAAATTGTGCAGCAGTGGTATCATTATGGAGTTGAACTCTCATGTTGACTGTGAGGTGCATTTTCACAATATGGCTCCAAAGATAAGAAGACTTTAAACAGGCATTCAGCTCATCAGCAGGTGTACCTCTAGTGACTACTGGAAGAGTCTGTCGGAAATCACCGGCCAAAAGCACTACTAAACCACCCATGGGTTGTGGATCATCACGGATATCCTGTAATGTCCGATCAAGGGCTTCCAAGGCAATTTTATGGGCCATGGTGCACTCATCCCAAACCAGCAACTTACAGCTACGTAAGAGTGAAGCTTTATCACTATTTTTTCGTATATTGCAAACAGCAGTCTGGCCCTCTGCAAAAGTCAGAGGTAATTTCAGCACTGACTGTGCAGTTCTTCCGCCCGCAAGCA